TCTAAAACCTGGTTTCACTCCTCCGGCCGCAGCCCCCCCGCCGGCCTTTACAGCCCACTCTGCTGCTCGCAGATGGGTCAATCGCAGCAATTTCCATTCTCAAGTCAAAGGAACCGGCTCAGCGCGCGCGTCGCTGCAGATGAGACGAGGGCGTCACCGTGAACCACCCGATCACGTGCACAGATATCTGCCAGAGCTGGTGCACGGCACCAAAAACGCTGTTTCTGACTAACCCACCTACGAAGTGCAGAACACATGAAACACAGCATCACTTTCACACTTAATTGTGTTTTCATATTAGCTGCTGGGATAATTTTGCACATTTTATCTTGCAGTCATTGTCTATTTTTGTTTTATTTTATACATCTAAAAAAAACTGATTCTGTTATCATGCTTGCACCAAGACGAAATGTACGAAATCTGCCAGTTTGTTGTAGCTTCTAAAAATGAGCGTTTCAGTGCATGAAATTTCCATTTCAGAAATGAAGTTGTGCAGCTTCTGGCATCAAAAGCTAAATAAACGAGCTGACTAGTGAAATTCCCAAACATTTTGGTCTCAACACATGAAAAAAAAGGCTAAACTGAGCCAGCAGCAGACATATGCGTGTTTTTTAAGCTCATGTTTGTGGTTTCACCAATGGTGGAAATGCAAGAAAAACCGTTGAAACCTCCTGCTGGTTGTTTTAAATCTTCTTTGCAATCATTTCCGCGCTATCGTTTACTAGTGAGTTTGAATTCTGCATCAAAATCAGCTGAAAAAATGACCCTCAGACAACAAACCGCACATCCAAATTGCACAATGCTTCTTTTTTGGGATGGGGTAGGAGGAAGAAAGGAGAAGAAAATAAGATTTAAGACACATGAGAAAAATTTATTTTAGATGTTTGAACGTCTGACTAAAACTGGATGTGTGCCATTGTTTATTTTTCTCAAAACTAGCGGATTCATTGTTTTTTTTAAACCTTTTTTACATCTTTTAGCACTACAGAAACTTTGGAGTTTTAGAATTATTGCAGATTTTATGGTAGATCTATTATTAGGGACAAATAATCTGAAATGGTGTGAAATACTGTTTTTCTTCTAGAAAAACCAAGTCAGGCCATGTGTGTTGAATCAGGATGAATGGATGCCGACACCCCCCAGCAGGGGGCGCCCTCATTGGACAGACAGGAACCGTTCGATGGTTTGATCAAAAAGAAGAAACCCCCAATTCACAGCTGAAGAAGGCAAACAAACGACACTCTCCTGTGAAATCCTGCTGGAACGTGACTCATTAGCTCGGCGGTTCGACTGCCAACTTTAACCGGCGAATCATCACTCTGCGCCATCAAAGGATCCAATCAGGTTGTGACTCATTACCGGTGGCACACTGGTCATCTGGAGAGTTGGGAGCTTCCCCACTGGGTTTCTGCGAACGCGATGACTGGCTCTCTGGAGGGAGTTTGGCTCACTTTCAGTGGGAGATTCTGATTACAGTCGGTGATTCACCTGCTAGTTTATCCACAGCCGTTTTTGTTTTTTTTCACTCTAATCTGAACTCCTGTTTCACAGAAAAGGGACCAGCGTACACACCGCACTGGCTGAGTCCTCTCAAACATTTATATTTTCTGTGGGAGCAGATAAGCATGCAAAATTCATCCAGCAGGCATGTTTCACAAGCCAAACCCAAGTGTTTGTCCACGGAGAATCAGCCTCCGCTGCGCCGGTGCGGCACAACCGCCACGCGGAACGATTCATCGCCCTTCTGTTTTTCCAGCAGTGATTACACACAAGACAGGTTTAAGCTCTTTAACCGGCTTAAAAATAGATTTCAAGGAAGATGGCGGAATCCGTGAATCGATTTCATTTCTCATCGCTTTGCTCGAATAGATCAACAATTGTACCATAACAGCCCGAAAGACTCAAGTTAAATCAGTCCAATCTAGAAGTCGGCCCAAATAAATTTCGATTTTTACAGCATCAAAGGAAAAAGAAGACGAGCCGCGCGGATCAGGAGGCCTTGTGTCACGGAGAGCCCGCTTTTGTGTTGGCTCTGCTGCTCTCGGCTCGCTTTGGAGGGAGCGCTGGCCCCTTCTTATAACCCAGAAGGTCTACGTTGCTTTATACCCATCAGGACGTTTCACCCCTGCAGAGTGAAAGCCAACCCTCAAAATGTCAGGGACGCTCGCAACACCGGCTGGGAGGAGTCCCAAAGTCTGGCCTTGATCTCAGATGCTCGTGGAGATGAAAAAAATGAAAAAAAAGTTGTGTGCACGCCAGTCCTCCAAGCGCTCGGAGCGTGAGCGTGTTTTTTTTTTACATGACTCGGTGCAGGATTTAGGTGAGCTAAGTGTTGCCTTTTAAGTTCTGCCCGTGCGTGTGTGCGTGCACGTGTGCAGAGAAGGGGAAAACATGCCCTTCTTGATACTTTGGAGCCAGTCACAATGCTGCGCTTCCAGCGAGAACAGTAGCAGCTTAAAGACTTGTGAACCTCCCACACTCCCCGCACACAGCCCCGCTACAAAGCACCTTTGTTTTCAGAGGACACAATTCAAATCTGCAGCTCAGGTTTCCCACGGATTTTCTAAATGTAGCTTTTCTCGCCGTCTTCTGGCTATACAGAACGCGCTGTTATTCTAAATCGTGTATTGTGGACGATAAATCCAGCTAACTCCTCCAAAAAAAACAACAAAAAAAGGGGTGGATTTCGTCCCATCCGACAAGATGTGGAGCGCAGCACTGCCAAAGCAGAGGGAAAAGTTTGTCTTTTTTTAGGGCCTGCGCGCCGGCTCCAGCCGAAGCATACGCAGAGTGTGGATTTGTGGATTTGTGGGTGCAGATGTAGCGGATCAATGCGTGTCGGAGTTACCGAGCTGGATGGAAAACAAAACCTGACACCAAAATTCAAACCCCAGCGGAATGAATTCAGACATAATCACCATTGTTTAATTCAACAGAGGAAATTCACAGGTAAAAGAGGAGGGGAGGAGGGAAAGGGAGGGGGGGCATGCCAGAAATGAGGAAGTGTTAGTAAAAAAGCCTTTAGATGAAATAATAAGACAGGCATAGAAATATCAAACCTCTGCAAACTGGCTCACACCAACTTCAAGCCTTTTGGAAGAATTGAGAAATAGTCAACCAATCCCAAAATGGGAACCACTCCCAACAGCGAGGCGGCACCGCCCACATCTAACCCGCATCCCGCCGGGGTCCCGCTTGCCGCTGGCGCCGCCGCTTCTGTACGGCTTAAAGCTTAAAGCGGCGCCGACCTGAGCCCACAGACACGGGCCGGCCGGCCGGGCCCCGCGGGGGCCAGAGCCTCCTGAAGGCCTCCACCTGAAGGCCTCCACCAGGCCGGAGAGCATCAGCCGGCCAACACCCAGACAGGAAAACAAAAACAAAAAAACAGCAGGAAAACAGAAAGAGAGAGAGAGAGAGAGAGAGAGAGAGAGAGAGAGAGAGAGAGAGGGCAAGAGAAAGGGAGAGAGACAGAGAGAGAGACAGAGAGAAAGACAGTAGGAGGGAAAGAGAAAGAGAGAGTCAGAGAGAGAGAGAGGGCAAAAGAGAGAGAGAGAGGGTGAGAAAGAGGGAGAGACCGAGAGAGAGAGAGCGCAACAGAAAGAGAGAGAGACCAAGAGAGAGAGAGAGAGAGAGGGCAAGAGAATGAGAGGGAGAGAGAGTGGGCCCCCCCTGCCTGATCCCAGCCTGTGTGCGTGTCGGGGCAGATTTCTGTGGGTGAACCCTGCTGCTGCACGAGGAACTGGACCTGAGAGCGGCCAGCGCGTTTCTCGGGGCGTGCGCGCCCCCCCGCCGGCGTGGGGGTGGGTGGGGGCGCGTGGGGGTGCGGGGGGGCGGCGGGCGGACTCACCCATGACGAAGGTGGTGAGCTGGTGCCGGCTGGCCCCGTGCTTGTTCCTGACCTCGCAGATGAAGGTGGTGTTGACCGCGTCGTCCACCTTCCTCACGGTCAGCTTGTTGTCCTCCACCACCACCGTCTCCGGCAGGGGGCCCGAGGCCCTGGGGGGGGAGGCGGGGGGGGGGGGGGGGGGGCAGGGGGGGGGGGGGGGTAACATGGAAATTTGTGTTTTTCTTTCACGCAATACGTTTGCGTGTGCACCAGGGCCGAGTCCGGGGTTTCTTTATTTAATAATCAACTTTGGGGGATTTAGTCTGAGGGGGCACAACACCTTTTTGAGGGGGCCGGGCCCCCTCTGGCCCCCTCTGGCCACTGCCCGGACCCGGCCCCAGTGCGCATGCAATAAGTTTTGCTTGGCCATAATCACACAGGATATTGAGCCCTTGTGACTGTGTGGGAAGGCAAAAGAAAAGAAAATAGCCCCGTTACCTGGGGGGCTGCGCTCAAAATAAAGAGTACACAGGGAGGGGAGTGGGTGCGGGGGTGGGGGCGGGTGGAGTGTGGTTCTTACGCGGTCCAGGTGATGGTGGTGGGCGCCGGGTTGGCGTTGGCCAGGCAGAGCAGGACGGCGTCCGAGCGGCCCACGTACCAGTTGTTGTCGTAGCCCTCAATGGACACAGTGGGGGGGTCTGAAAAAGGAGTGTGTGCGCGTTCATTTTCATCCATCAACAAAGACGGCGTGAATTCTGACAGCTGGCTGGCATGTGAAGTGCTTCTCTCCTCCATTCAGACCCCAGTTTTCCATTTTTTTCTCTAATGATAATCAACAACTCAATGGGAAATTAATTTCATGGCCATTGGTTTTGACAATTCCAACTTGGCTTTTAACAAATCTTCCTTTTTTCCCCTAAATGGTTCTGAGCGATGAATTCTTCTTAATTACCTGCTAGGGCCTGTGTATAACAAAAGAGTGCTCAGCGGTGCCAATCAGAGCTGGTGCATATTCAGGAAACACCTCATTGGAAACCAGCTACGACTGAAAAAAGATGAGATATTTCATGCCTCTGTGTTTGTTTTGTGGGAAACTGCTTGTTTAACACGCATCTGTCAGCCTTTGATGTGTTAAGTCTTTTACATGGCGGCTCGTCGCCTCCACAGATGAATCCTGAGATTATTATTACAGAAAAACGGGGTGAACTTGCTGGAGAAGTCCGCACACGTCGATGCTCGGCATGCTAACAGCACGCTAGCATCCCAACAGCACGCTAGCATCCGTTTCACACTCGATTGTTTGGGACTTTTTGCTTTGTGAGGGGCCCTGTATTAGTTAAATCCCTCATTTGTGATTATTTTTCACTTTCCTTCCTGTTTCCAGTCAATCTTAATAAATAGATTTAAGAAAATCATGTAGAAAATCTTACATTTGATAAAAAATCTGGGAATAAACCCCACCCCACCCCCCAATGCACAGGTATTCCACGTCACCCACACTTAAGAGGCTATTTGCTCAGCTCAGCTCAGCTCTGCCAGCCGGGGGGGAGGTCTGTGCTCAGTGGGAGCTCGGGTGGGTTTAGCTTTTTTTTTTTTTACATTTGAGCAGCCGGTGGTTTTTCTCCCCCTGGAGAGAAAGCGGCGCCTTGTGTGTGCAGCTCGCTCGCTTTCAAAGCGGCGTGCATTAAGTGGCCCTGACTTCATGAAGTTGATGGCTTTGATGCTGCCTTTCAGAACATCGTGTAACACGAGGCTCATTTTCTCCCACGCCAAAACCTCTCAGAGTACGACGCGGCGAGTCCATTTCATGTCAGGCTTTTTTTCTTTTTTTAATTGCGTGCTTTGAGCCCCTCATTGATGCTGCTGCAGGATTTCCAGCTCAGGCCGTCTTCACCGGGGGAAAAAAAGGCTCCGACCGCTCAGACAAAAGGCTCTTTCTATAGCACGGCAGCAGCCGAAGCCTCCATCGTGCCTCCAGATGACCTGAACTTAAACGTTTCCTAAGGAAAAAAAAAAAAATCGAGGCCTGCAAACATCTCACAAACACCAAAAATTGAGAGCAGATGCTGAGTTATACACCACAGACCTCCAAATAAGCCCCACACGTGGGTGACAGGGTTCTGATCTGAACCCAGGAGCTGGAGCAGAGCCCAGGAGCCAGGCCTTCTCATCCAGCAAACCTCATCACCAGAGAAAACTCCATGATGTGGAACTCTTGCTGTCTTTACTTCTGGATGCCTGACAGCTACCGTAGCTGCAGTACATTTGGAAACGGAGGCGCTAGAGAGCAGATTTGTTAGGATGCAGAATACAGTTTCACTGTTAGATGGAGGAATTCCTGCTCCGTGCAGCTTTAGACAGCGCTGTGACGGACAGGCGAGCTGAGGATATTTCTATTTGGATTTGGATGCTATCTCTTCTATAGTGTATATATGTATTTCTGTGTGTGAGTGACAGAGCTGAAAGACTCCCGTCAGACTGTCTGTTTGATTGATTTTCAGGATGTTGCATCACAGAAGGAGCCCAACAGCACCTGTCTAACGGGGTGTTCGCAGGCCCGCCTGCACCCAGTGAAAAAGCAGAAACGTGTGAAAAGTCTCTCCGCGGAAATGAAAAGCCTCCCAATCCCAGCAGGATG